CAATTTTTTAATCTTTCCTCATAGCTCATGTTTTCTAGAGCTTTATCATTTTTGTTGCTCTTCTCTAGACTCTCCAATTTGTCCACATCTTTCCTGAAATGTGGTGTCCAGAACTGGACTCAATACACCTGCTGAGACCTAATCACCACGGAGTAGAGCGGAAGAATTACTTATCATGTCTTGCTAACAACATTCCTGCTAATACATCCCAGAATGATGTTTACTTTTTTTCCAACAGTGTTATACTGTTGACTCATATTTAGCAGGTGATCGATCCACTAGAACCCCAATCCCTTTGCACAGTACTCCTTCCTGGACAATCATTTCCCATTTTGTATGTGTGGAATTGATTGTTCCATCCTAAATGTCAGAGGGGTAGCCATGTTAGTCTGGATCTGTAGAAGCGACAGAGTCCTGTGGCACCTTATAGACTAACAGACGTTTTGGATCATAAGCTTTCATGGGTGAATACCCACTTCTTGCATCTGATGAAGTGGGTATTCACCCACAAATCTTATGATCCAATACGTCTGTTAGTCTATAAGGTGCCACAGGACTCTTTGTTCCTTCCTAAGTGGAATACTTTGCATTTGTCCTTATTGAATTTCATCCTATTTACCTCAGACCATTTCTCCAATTTGTCCAGATTTTGAATTTTCATCCTATCCTCCAAAGCACTTGCAACCCCTCCCAGCTTGGTATCATCTGCAAACTTTATAAAAAGTAGAGATTACCATAATCAAAATAATTGATGAAGATATTGAACAGAACTGAGCCCAGGACAAGTCCCGGCAGGACCACACTCATTATGCCCTTCCAGCTTGACTGTGAACCACTAATAACTACTCTGGGAACATTTTTCAAATCAGTTATGCACCCGTTGACCACTACCCATTGAGCCCGACAATCTAGCCAGCTTAAATAGTGGTGTCCCTCACGGGTCTGTTCTAGGACCAGTCCTATTCAATATATTCATAAATGATCTGGAAAAAGGGGTAAACAGTGAGGTGACAAAATTTGCAGCTGATACAAAATTACTCAAGATAGTTAAGATCCAGGCAGACTGCAATGAGCTACAAAAGGATCTCACAAAACTGGGTTACTGGGCAACCAAATGGCAGATGAAATTTAATGTTGATAAATGCAAAGTAATGCACATTGGAAAACATAACCCCAATTATACACACAAAATGATGGGGTCTAAATTAACTGTTACCACTCAAGAAAGATCTTGGAGTCATTGTGGATAGTTCTCTGACAACATCCACTCGATGTGCAGCGACAATCAAAAAAGGTAACAGAATGCTGGAAATAATTAAGGAAGGGATACATAATAGGACAGAAAATATCATATTGCCTCTATATAAATCCATGTTACGCCCACATCTTGAGTACTGTGTGCAGATGTGGTCGCCCCATCTCAAAAAGGATATATTGGAATTGGAAAAGGTTCAGAAAAGGGCAACAAAAATTAGGGGTATGGAACTGCTTTGGTATGAGGAGTGATTAATAAGACTGGGACTATTCAGCTTGGAAGAGAGACGGCTAAGGGGAGATATGATTGAGGTCTATAAAATCATGACTGGTGTAGAGAAAGTAGATAAGGAAGTGTTTCCTACTTCTCATAAGACAAGAACTAGGGGTCACCAAATGAAATTAATAGGCAGCAAGTTTAAAACAAATAAAAGGAAGTATTTCTTCACACAACACACAGCCAACCCATGGAACTCTTTGCCAGAGGATATTGTGAAGGCCAAGACCATAACAGGGTTCAAAAAAGAACTAGATAAATTCATGGAGGATAGGTCCGTCAATGGTTATTAGCCAGGATGGGCAGGGCTGGTGTCGCTAGCCTCTATTTCTCAGAAGCTGGGAATGAGCAACAAAATACTTCCAACTCCCAAAAGTGGCTTTTGCTTTGTCGGCAGGAGAGCGCTAACATCAAACCCCTAGTGCTTGCTACTTAAGAGTCAATGGGAGTACTTTGAAGAGCCAGAAACTATATCGGATAGCAAAGATCTGGCCTTAATGATTTCCATACCTCTCCCCAAACAAATCTGAAAACTTAATGGAAATTGTCATGCAGCATTCCATATGCTTTATGAAAATGTACTTGAATATGAATAGGACATAACTGGAGTACGCTTTATGCAAAATACCCAGTGTAACCTACCATTTAAAAAGATTATAATCTGCTGGATGTGTATATTATATTTTTGTGCATGTATCACTCCTGTATTAGAAGTTAGAAATATGAAGTATAAGCCTGTTTTTACTGATATAGACATGCTAAGTGAGGGCCATTAAGGGTGCTTCAGAAACTTAATGATTGTAGCAAGAAACAGTTGGGCTGTGAATGAGCTCGTGGGTGGAGCTGGGAGTCCCCACAAGGACATGTGTTTAGGTCACCCGATGCTAGAATCCATCTTGGATGCTGGGTTCTTCCCCAAGCAGGGGGGGAAAGTTTAAACTAGAAGACAAAGGATTCCCACCTTGGGCAAAAACTATATAAAGGTGAGAAGCCAAACAATAGGGGCCACCAGTCCTGAGAACACCGCTGTTTACCATCTAAGATGACTGCTGCAAACAACTGAAGCTGAACATTAAGAAGGATTAGGCCCAGATTGAGAAGGCTATTCACTCTGTGAAAGCTGCTTATTAAAAGAACTTGAGGGTGAGATATTACATGTAACAAATTTCTTAGTGTATTAAGCTTAGCTGTGTGTTTTGTTCTGTTTTGCTGAGTAACTTTGTTCTGTCATTACTTAAAACCACTTAAATCCTACTTTTTATTCTTAATAGAATCACTTTTGTTTATTAATAAACCCAGTGAAATTAATTGTTACCTGGGAAGGACAGACAGCTGTGCATCTCTCTCTTCCATTGTTAAAGAGGGCAGACATTTAAGCGTTTGCCCTGTATAAGTATTATACAGAGTAAGATGAATCTGTCTGGGGTTCTGATCCCATTGGGGCTTGGCTCCTATTCACTGGAGTAAGTCCCTTTAACTAAGGCTTCCCAGAGCTGAGTGGATCTCAGTGTCTCTATTAAACAGCGGGGGGCTGTCACTCCATCTCTGTGCCAGTGCTGGAGGAAGCCGAAGGGTCTGTCTCGGCAGGTCAGAGGGGCACCCATGAGGGCAGTAGGCTGGGCTCAGTGGTAGTTTCAGCACATCACATGACAGTACCAAGGGGGTGTCTGTGACCAAACCCATCACAGAAATCACTTGTCTGGAATCCAAATGATTTCCATTAAGAGAGGCATCTCTCCTGGCCATTCCAGCACCGGAGCTGGGGCTAGGACATGACAAGTTAGAAAACATAAGAGTGATACTGCAAATCAAACTTTACAGTGTTGTTCATGTGATTAACAATGAGGCATCTCAAAATGACAGATCATTTCCAAAATTATTTTTACTTTTATTCCCTTCCCTTGTATGATCCATCAATCCTGAGGGAATTAAATTAATTTTAGCCAGAAATGGAATACTGTATTGCCAACCTCAAGAGTTCAAAGATCACGAGTCAGGCCTCAAATTTTATTTATATTGGCTTAAAAATCATGGGATTTAAAAAAAAATAAATAATAAATGTTGGGTTCTTTGTAATTTGCCTTTTGGTGTCTAAGCCCTAAGTGTGTATTTACGCATGCTTTCAAGCATTTGTATTAAAGCAGAGATTCTCATGAAATTTTTTTATTCCAGCAGCTGGAACTTTAACACACACACAAAAGTTGTAAAACTCATGATTATGCCAGAAGAGTTGGCAACACTGGAAACACTCCCCAACCTACAAGGGACAGAGAAATTTTCCAGGGCAAGTTGAGAGTAATGTAGGGAGTTTTTCAGCATAATGAAAGACAACTTGCAAACATAGGCACCGACTCCGTGGGTGCTCTGGGGAAAAATTAATGGGTCCTCTGCACCCACTGGTAGCTAAGCTCCCCCTGCTCCCTCCCCTCCTCCTCCCTTCCCCCAAGCACGCCGCGTCCCTGCTTCTCTGCCTACCTCCCAGCACTTCCTGCCCAGCCACCACCAAACAGCTGTCTGGTGGCGTGCTGGGAGGGAGGAGGAGGAGGGGGAATGTTGCACGCTCAGCGGAGGAGGCGGGGCCGGGGTGGGAATTTGTGGAAGGAGTTGGAATAGGGGCAGGGAGGGGACAGAGTTGGGGTGGGCAAGGATGGGATGGGGCAGGGCCTTGTGGAAGGGGTGGAGTGGGGCAGGGCTGGGGACAGAGGGGGGTCGAGCACTCAACGGCAGGAGCAGAAGTCTATGCCTATGCTCACAAACCCACTTTTGCCTGAGGCCTTTTATATCTGTCTAGAAGGGAAAGAGAAAGACAGCAAACTTCAGGTTCCATTATGCAGGGAGGGCATAGTGGGTGTTTCAGAGTCATGGAATTTCAACAAGAAAGTAGATTTAAAACCAAAAAGTGCATGTAATTTTGCAAACACATCCAAAACTGGGACAACTTTACCAGAAGCTATCCTGACCCCTGTCTCCCCTAACCTGGTCTGACCTGGTCCAATTGCTGTCTCAGAACTTTCACCCTCCTGCTCCTGGACACCTGCCTAGCTCTGGCTCTCCCTCCAAATTCTGACTCTTTGAAAATGCTTTTTGCAGTTCAGACTTATTATTTTAGGAGGCGTGGATCAGCTGAAGCTGCTTCTGATGTGTTAAAAGCCTGGATTCGTTTATTCTTGAAAAATGATACCAAAGACCAAAGAGGCTGCAAGGTTCCCAAGAGGTATGGGGCTTATGATGGCCTAAAATAATATGTATACTTTACAGTCGGTTAAAAGCGTTCATATTTGTCTTCTTCTCCCTCCAGACCCTGCCTCTCCCGACACACTGTCCATTGGCTACCAGGCTGGCAGAGAGAGAAATGACAGCTCTACCCAGTGAATCAAGCATCCTGCCCAGGCAGTGATTGTTGGCACTTTAGAGTCAATGGAGTACCCCACAGTACTGGGAATATTTACACTGAATTGTTGATTTGTACCTTGTGATGAATGTCCTCTGTTGTGTTACTGATATTGTGAATTGTTGGGTCCAGGGATGCATGATCAAATCCATATTTGGGAGTAGGAGCCTCTTCGCAGATATGAATGACGTGACTTGCCGTCTCCTGTTTCTCAGCCACTCGCTCTCTGGTGTTTTCTCTCTCTGCAGGTAAGTGAATGGTGGGTTATTGACACCATGTCTCCTGCTGTGAAGAATTCCTGTCCCATGTTGCCCATCCCCCCTCCACAGCTGACCAGTTGCAGGAGTGTCTCTCTCTAGAATCCATCCCCTGCACCTCAGTTACAAGACTCCCCTCCCCACAGAACCACCAATCCTGAGAGCCACTTTTACCTGGACTTCTTCATGTCTTCTGCAGAGCTGTTTTTCTGGCCACGGAGAGTAAGTGAAATCTGCTGAAGACTTACTAAAAAGGACCTTCTCAAATTTGGGGTGACGATACCTCCCCCTCCACATTTTCATGGGGAGCTCAGCAGTCACAGTCCCTTTGGCTTCAATGGGACGTTTTGTTCTTCAACACCACTAAAAATCAGGCCTTTGGTATCTCAGTTGGGCACCCAGAATCAGGAGCGCTTTTGAAAATTAGAGAGTACAGTCCTTAAAGGCAGAAAGGGAAGGAGCTAAAGACCACCCAGTGCTGGGAGCACATGAGTGATGAATGTATATTTGGAAGGATAAAGAAACATGACTGAATGACCTGGATTTCTCACTTGTGCACGTATCAGAGCCTAGCAGGTCTCAAACCCTCGTCCCCAGGACTCCTAAGAACCACTAAATTCTGACCTGCTAACTGGTTCCAGAACTACAAACACAATCCTGATAGAGGAGTGCAGGCTTGGATCCGATTGGTGCAACTCTTGGGGTTCCAACGGGTTCCCTGCTTCTATTCAAACCAAGCAGAGGAACAGGAACTTGTCTGTGCAACTGGCTTTCCACTACTTAGGGCTGTCTCCCTTGTGCTCCCTGATCCTATTGCCAGACTCTGATCTCCTGGTAACCTGATCTCCTGCTGGAGGAGTTTGATGGCAATTGACAGCAATTCAGGGGTTGTATAAATCAGTGCCAGCCCTTGTACTCAGTCATACAGATTGTGCAAAAGAGATCCTGGTTATCATAGAATCATAGAATCTCAGGGTTGGAAGGGACCTCAAGAGGTCATCTAGTCCAACCCCCTGCTCAAAGCAGGACCAACCCCAACTAAATCATCCCAGCCAGGGCTTTGTCAAGCCTGACCCTAAAAACCTCCAAGGAAGGAGATTCCACCACCTCCCTAGGGAACCCATTCCAGTGCTTCACCACCCTCCTAGTGAAATAGTGTTTCCTAATATCCAGCCTGGTGTTCAGGGAAGCATTAGATTGGGCCTCCCCGTTCTTGGAGTGTGACATCCCTGTACTGTCAAACTGCGAGGTCTTCCTCCATGCCATGTCACAGCTATTTGATAATCAGCAATGAGCTTGAACGGTGGCAGCAACCCTAAGAAAGCTCTGATGGGCGCAGGGCATCATAGCAGCACAATTCCACCTCCTCATGTTCCAATCCGTATTGGCCATGGTGGTGCAGCTGTTTCAGTTCTGGTGGGGTCTGGGAGAAGAAATTAAAGATGAATTGGCCCAAATGAATACACCTGCAAGTCTGGATGCCCTCATGGATCTCACTATACCTATGGGAATGAAAGGAGGAAAAAAGGGGGGGTCTTGCAACTCTGCTCTCCATGTACTGTTACCTCTTCAGCAAGATCACACACCAAGCCAATGCAGGTGGATATGGGCCATCACTGGCTGACTCCCATAGAAAAGGAGCAGTAATGCTAGCACCATCTCTGCTTCTACCATGGTGAGTCAGGTCACCCCATCTCTATCTGCTCACAATGAGTACCAAGAAATCAGGAAAAAGAGCTTCACCACACCTCAATCTTGTTGGAACACTTCCATGCTTTGTGCATGTACTCCACTTGCAGATGTCAGTCTAGCTGCACATGTCTAGGATGCCCAGTAAATTTCCAACCTACTGACCCTCATTGACTAGAGAGCAGCTCACTGCTTCATGGATGCAGAGACAGCCAGATCCTACAGATTCCCATGCAACACAAGGCCACTGCTGACCTCACAGAGACTTCTGGTCCCATAATGGAGGAACCAGCTCCCTTGAAGGCCATGATTCAGGGGCACTGAGAAATATTACACTTTGCTATTGTAGAAGCAAAAAAAGAACTGACAAAAAGAAAATGCAATACATGACAGTTCGTTAGCAAGAGTCAGGCTAACTGTAACCCTGATAATGCGAGATTTGTAGAAGCGAGGATTGTGTGAGGCGGGTGAGAAAGAACTGTGTAAGAAGTCATTATGACCTGGTATAGATAAGGTGTAGAAGACCTTGTGTAGATAAGGTATAGAAAATATTGTATGTTGGCAAAAGTCAAAACAAGTAAAAAAAATAAAATATCAAAATAGCCTATGTATAAACAAAATGCAACTGTTGCTCATTATTGTCTGTAACAAAAAATATAAATGCTTGCTGTAATTGTTTACCTGTTGAGAGACCTACTTAACTTTTACAATTGCACAGAGGGAGAGAGCTAATAAAGCATCTGACTTGCTGTACCTAGACAAATAGTAAGAACTCTGTTTTTCTCCGACAATTTGGGGGCTCGTCCGGGATGGCAACGCCCGCAGAGGCACCGGCAGCTGCTACGGATCGTTCCCCTTTGAACCCCATGGCGCCACAATAGAGGTAGGAGACCTTTTGAAATCTCTATTGGGGTGTTGGAAGAGGACTGTCCGTGGGGCCGTCTGTCCCTGTTGGGCTCACGCCATCCGAACTTATTGACTGTGCAGCAAGGTCAAATGCTGAGCGGCTTAGGGGAATTGTTGCCGCCCCCTGTATGCATGCTCAAGGTGCATAGGGTTTGCACCTGTGTTGAGGGGTTGTTACCGCCTCAAGAGGGGTTTTTACCGCCTCAAGTGATGCATCGAGGTACTTGGGAATAGTACCTGGAATAAGGCCTTGGTGTGTGTGTGTGTGTGTGTGTGTGTGCACACCAGTGTGAATTGAGTGTTACCGGAAGACGCCCAGAGTACTCTGCGAAGTCTTTTGGCTCGTGACCAGAACTACTCTAACGCAAGTCCAGTAACTAGAAGATCTTTTAGGAGATCCGACCCACAGTGGGCTAACTCGGCCTGGCATCGTCCGGCGAGGAGGCTACCTAGGTCTAAGAGTGTGTGAACCCATCTTCCCTCCCCTTTTCCTCTCTGTGTGAGCCACTGACAGTCTGATCATCTCACTGGATGCAACAGAGTAAGCGGCGCCGTCTCTCTGAGACTAGCCGACACTCTTTGCTGAAGGGAGGTGTAGGAGGGTCGTGGCCATCCTCGTTAGTCTCTCCTGTGTGAATACCCTGTAGGGAGAGATCCTTAGTTTATGTGCTGCTAGAGTGGACAAGGCATCCTCCTCCCTGTGTGTGTAATTAGAAAATGAGTAGAGGACAGTCTAAGGATTCCCTCTCACCCACTAAGAGTACCCCAGCTTATTTCATGTATGTACATTAAAGTACTAAAACCTGCAGGTATTTAGAAAATTGAAATCATTACACGCGTGAAAATTCATTTAAACAATGCCCACTAGAAAGTACCTTCAATCTAAATAAGATCATACATCTCAGAGGAGCTTTTAATCACCAAAAAGCCTCTGACACAATAAAAGCAATTTGTCTATTAAAAAAACGAGTTAATTTGAAATTCAGCTTAGTCCAAAAATAAAAAAAGTTAATCTGCGTTCAAGGTCAAGAATCAATGCAGACCAAGCTAAGTACAAAAAAAACCTGCTTTCGGCCCCAGCTGACTGTAAAAAAATATAGACATAGTCAAACCAAAAACAATACAAGTTACAGTGCTAAAATTACATTTGCAAAGCTTAACTGTCCAGTGAAATCCAACAGTCTGCCTTTGCGACCCTGGAGCCAGCGTGGTTTGAAAAAGCTGAAGAAGCCACAGGCAGCTGGCCTAAACTAAAATCACTAAAAAGACGCCCCAAAAGACCTCAAAGTGTAAAAAAACTG